GGAACTTGAAGTAAATCAGGGCATAGCTACCCCTGTTGGATTCTAATTGTAGCGATTGAAATAATAGCTGGGAAATATACCTAGAGGATTGGTTATCTACTTTGATCAACCAAATCTGATGTGTGTGATGCTGCTAGTGACAATTATCATACACCCTGTGGAACAATGAGTTGGGTGAAATATTCTGGATATGGGATTCCAACCATTGCTAAAAACTTGTTTATAAATCTTGCAGAGAATATTGTGAAAGCATTCTCTTGTGGTTCAATTGGCCTTTGCCGAATTTGAAAACAAGACACGAAATAATGATATTCAAAAGAAGAGGAGGGATTGTTATATATGGAGTAGTAATTCATGTTGAGAAAATGGTAGATATTAAAAAGAAGGAGGAGATTTGAGAGTGTGGCCATGGGGGTTGGAAGCCCCTGGTTGAGATAACATTAGACTCTTAACGATGAGGCCATCAGGAATATAAAAGAGTTTAGAGGGGACAAAAAGGGTGATTCAGGAGACTCCATGCAGTCTCTGGTTTCTTGTTCTCCAGATGGTCTCTTGTTCTCAAGCCTTTAAGGCATGGATGTTTCTGGGTGTTTGCTGTTGTTGTTACATTCAAGGTTGTTTGACCAATGAAAAGTTGTTTTGAAAAGAACTGCTGTGGGGAGAAGGGTATAAGAGGAGAGCCTGCCCTCAAGATAAAAAGGCAACACGATGAAGTTACATCATAAAGAAGCAGGAAAAGAAGTGAAGAGGAACAGGTTGGGAGAATGGAGACCAGGATGGGAACAGGCACTTTGATTGCCTCTTGAGGATAGGTTCAGCCAAACTCAGCAAGCTGCTCAGAGAAGCTTGTGCTGAAAGTCCCTGGAACAGACTCACTGGAGCTGGAGAGAAGCTCGAGCTGAGAGAAGCGACCCGTGCACACAACTGCCTCTCGCTGGTAAGCAGCTGCACATTACGGGGAATCATACGTCCTTAGGAACAAAGACTGTCCTGGTAACTTTACAGCTTATCCTCCTTATTAACAATTGGACAGTTTATGAGCCTGAAATATGGGACCAAACTGAGGTCAAGGTGTGGGACTCTGCAACTAAAAATGGCAAGGTTGCACTGGGATTGCTCAGCACCTGGCAAGCAATCTCTGAGGCCTTAAAAAGCCATGTGGAGCCACAATCACAAATGTGTGGTTTGCCAGATAGTGAGGGAGCTGCGGGCTCCTTTACTGATCCGACGACTGCTACGCCATCAGCCCCCTGCTGCTACAGCTATCGAAGGCCTTTGCTGTTATGCCCTCTGATGACCTGGACATGCCTTTTGACCCAGGCCTCATTGGCCTTGAAAAGGAGATGGATATGTTTTTCACAGAATCACAGAATCACAGAATTTCTAGGTTGGAAGAGACCTCAAGATCGAGTCCAACCTCTGACCTAACACTAACAGTCCCCCTAAACCATATCCCTAAGCTCTATATCTAAACGTCCTTCAAGACTTCCAGGGATGGTGACTCCA